GAGGAGGAGGAGGAGGAGGAGGAGGAGGAGGAGGAGGAGGAGGAGGAGGAGGAAGAAGGGGGAAGAGGAGGAGGAGAAAGAGAAGGAAAAGGAGGGAGGGTGAGGAGGGAGAGGAAGGGGAGGAGAAGAGAAGGAGGAAGGGAGAGGAGAGAGAGGAGGGAGAGGAGGAGATTCAAATAGCCCAAAATAAACTATGGAAACATACACAGAAATTAATCATAAAAAGCCTTATAGAATAAGAACAATGTAGCCCACGTTCAGACATGTTGCTGCCTGAAGAAATAAAAGAAGAGGTACAGAAGATAATTTGGCTGACAGTTTAATTCTTCCTTGCATCAGAACGCAATCCTAGGCTAGCTGTTCCATCAACACAGCAGTGATTGATTGGATTCTTTTACTGCCCCAATTGGGTGACTGTCAGGAGTTTTCCAGCAACTTACAGCCAATTGCTAGCCCTGCCTTGCTACCTCTGCACAGCCAGTCCTACAAGGAAGGAAGCCACAAGTGAAGACTACATTGGCTCTTCTTTTTCAGCAGCCAAATGCAGCAGGACTCAAATAACACAGAGATTTGGCAACATTTATCATTTTGAAAGCAACACTCCCAAAAGTGAGCAGGGCCAGAATAAACAAGTAGATAAGACATGGACAAAATAAAACCAACAAGCCAAAAACCCAAATTCATGCACATTTAATTAATATTGTATTCTGTTATTTGATATTAACATGATTACTTTCTATGTATTGAGTAATTTTATTCTTCCATTATATTTTAAATGTGTGATGTAACATTTAAGGTGCTAGACAGCAGAATGGGAGGCCTTAAGGTGCCCCTTGACCCTGGAGCTCACTCTGGGCCAGTAATTCTCTCTTTCAACCCAACCTACCCCATGGGGGGTAAGAATAAAAATGTCAAGATGGCAGCTGTGACCATATGATCCATGCCGCACCTCTTCTGGGTCATGTATGCAATACATGTATAAAAGGGGGTGGGGCTTTGATCACACTGTCAAGGCCACCATTTTGATTTTTTTGACCTGCTGCTTGCAGATCCCCTTCCTCACATGATTGTGGTTGGATGGAATATAAATGCAATGATAAACATATCCTAAATGATCAAACTCTTAGAGATCCAAGCTTTTCTGGCAGTGTAATGTTTGCATCAGTAATAAGGAACAACATGAGCCTACAAATCTGTTCTTGTGCTATAAAAGGGTATGAAGATTTGAGGCAGATCTGGGATGCTGTATGACCTGGATCTAGTTAAATGTAGTAAGCTGATCCTTGTAGTTCATCAGTAATCCAACAGAGTTTATATCAAATGTAATAGCAAAGGGATAACTATATTAATCAGTTCACTTTTTTTTTAGAACTTTCTACTCCTTTCTGATTAGGGGAGGCCATCATGTGGGGGCTATTTAAAACACATTTCTGGGGTCCAATTGAAATGCCAAAGGGCAGGCAATCAAAAGATATATAACCACATGTCAACACAGTTCCTGAAACAGATGTTATTCAGCAACATTTACAGAGGGAGGGTATGATTCTAGATAGGACTGTGTGCTCCAAACAGAGCCAAGCTTAGTCCAAGGAAGGGTATATAACTATGAATGCAGTAGCAGAGATCAAAC